CACATAATATGTCAAGAGGAGATAAGTGCTACGAAGAAAGATAAAGCAGTATAAATGAAACAGAGAATGATAGGAGTGAGTGTTATTTGTATGGCATGGTTAAGAGAGACCTTTGAGTAGAAACCTGGTGGGAGATTTCAGTTTTGGGGGTGAGTGTATTAGTTATGCCTTGCTGCATAACAAATTACCCTAAAACACCATGGCTTAAAATCACAACATTTATTATATCATAATTCCGTGGGTTAAGAATTTGAGAGTGGGTTTGCTACATGGTTCTGGCTCCAGGTTTCTCATAAGATCATAAGCTGTTGATTGAGGCTGCCATCATCTCAAGGATGAAAGTTTTAATAAAAAGAAAGAGGGCAGCACCTCCTATTTTCTGGCAGAAAGAATTCTACCTGTTATGATTCTATAGAATAAACATAAAATTAAAATAGTCTTTATTTGATTTAATTTGGACTTTATGACCTTCATGCCCAGAAAATAACACACAAAAGTTATTTACATCTTTGCTTAAATTTTAGAATGCTTGTATATGGAATTCAAGTTAATTCTCTGTCCTGACAGTGAATAGGAAAATAAAGTAGAACTATTTGATCTCTTTAAATGTATGGGATGAACTGCATATTCTGCAGGTGGATGATGATGGTAGCCCTAATGTTCAAAGCTGTGTGTATGTGATCAAGTGATCCAAGAAAGACCATTAGCCTACAATGTGTGAGTGGATCACCTCTATATTTTCATTTGTTTTGTTATGCTCTCAACTGTCAAAACATCAGATAATTTTTTTCCCAATTTAAGACAAAAATTGTGTTTTTAAACTATATTTCATGGCTATATCCTAATTACTTCACTAAAACACATGATGCTTAAATGCAGAATTAGATTTTTACCCACAAAACAAAGCTGTTCTAGAAGGAGTAGCTTTTTGGATAATTAAAACAAAAGGTAGGACTTGTATTTGGAAAACTGTGAAATAAAAACACATTTATTTGTTGCATCTTATTACTAAGCCTCATCACAGAGGATCTGGTCTGTACTTTTATAATATTGTTATTTAGAAAAAAATAGGAAAATTAAGCATTCTATGAAATTGTTTCCAAATGTGGGACACACTCATTTTGAAGCACAGTAATGATTGTCATGTGATGACAGTTGTGAGGTTAGATCTCAAAAAGGTGGTAAGGCGATTCAAACTTCTAGTTAAGTCAGGCAGCAACTTTCCATCTTTAGAATGATTTATGAAATAAGAAACTAATTTTGTCCCAGGACCATGCTTGTCACTATTGCATTGCACATGCTGCATTTAGCATCACAAGGCAGTGTTCATGGATGACAGAAATCCTGAGTGGTTGGTGATGCAGAATGCTGTATGTATGATTCAGAATGGGTGTTTTCACTGAGGTATTTGTCATTTCTTCTGCACACACCATGATCTCTTAGAGATACAAATTGTTGAAAATATTGGTAAGGCAGGCAAAATATAAAAAGTTACTTCAGTCCATAGACAGAATCTGCCTTTTTGATTTGGGGTACTCAATAATCTCAAAAAAACAGTACTTCGAATTCTTAGATAACCTTTTCTCTGCTGTCTCTCACTAAAAGACACCTCTTCATCTCCCTTCCCTCCAAACTTTATACATCCTACCTAAGACCTGGTGTAACATGCATAGTGTTGCTAGCATTTCCATCACTACTATCTTACTGTGACCCATTAGTACTTCTCACAGGGGCCATTCTAGCCTTCAGTCCGCATTAACCTCAGCCCATTCTCTATGGTTCTATCAGAAAATTGCTCATGGTAATTGCTGTTTACAGTCTTGTGGCCACCTTCAGTTTCCAGGCTGGCACTAAACAGCCTCATCCTCTGGCCTTTGCTGATCTCTCCAGCCTCAACTACTTCCATTTCCTACACACACCCTTCACTCTCAAATGACCCAAACTACTTACTGCTTTTCAGTTCACCATGCTATGTCAGATATACCATCAAGCACATTTCTCCTTCTTAAGAACCCTGTTCTACCATGACGCTTCATTTTCTACCTACTGTTATTTACACTTACACTATTCTTATCAGTCATTGATCTATGAGTCTACCACTCTTGCTCGTGGACACATATTAAGTCACCTTAGGTCAATTTCTATTCTAAGTATTTCACTAAGCTCCTGGCACATGTAAAATGTTACTGAACATACAAAGTTAGAGAAATCATTACTAATTTTAGCATTCAAAGTAAAGCTAAACTAAAATGCATGAACTCTATAGAACATGTTTTTTCCACTTGCTGATAACTGGAGTTTGTTATTAGGAAGAACAGGCAGAAAAAAAATATTTTCACTGGAACTGAGACAAATAGATGGTAAAATGCAATCTAGCAGAAGCTAGTAATATTAGGAAGTTGGGAAGGATAGACCCAGTATTAAGGACTGACATCAGAAAACAAGAAAACTGTTGGTTGCTCTCAGGAGATTTAGCTTATGATAAATGGTTTTGGCTTTTTTGTGAGGCCAAAGACAGAGTAGAATGGAACAAAGTACTATCAGGAAAAGTACTTCTCATAGTTTGACAGGTAACAAAGAAATTGAACAGAAGGGATTGATAGGTATCCAAAGGTTTTTGAAGCCAGATCATACAATCAGTGATATAAAAACTGATTAAATCATATTGAGGCCCCATTAAAAAAAGAAGAACTTAGAACAATAAGCTAGATAGCCTCATGATAAGACTCCAGTTACTGATAGGGAGACCGAAGGTAAAGATGTGGTCCAAGGAAAAAAGAAAGCATTGTGTGACCAGAGGACTCAAAATGCAAGAGACAGGGCTCATTTGAAGTCAAATTACCAGACTAGACCAGTCAGGTCCTGTCAACTAGCCCCACCTGTAGGTGAGTTGGGTAATTCTTTACAAATAAACTTCAGTTGTACCTGGGATTAGAATATCAGTTAGAAATTAGATCTTCCATTTGTTTACAATATCATTAATTTATTTCTTCTAGTATTTTAGGATTTAAACTATTTTTTAGCACTAATCTACTACAGTGTATTATATGGAGTTCCCCATCACTGGGCTAAATTCCAGAAACGGTTGAGTCTTTCTAAAAATACAAAGAAGTACATTCCGTGTCAGAGAAAGAGTATATATGATCATCAAGGACTCATTTTGCACAACCACTAGTTCATACTACATGACTTTTTTTCTAATTACAATTTATGTGATATATAAAGGTAATCAAAGTAGAAGGAAGACTTTTTTTTAATGCATTGCAATCACATTTAATTGTTTTTTTTTCTTTATTGTGCTGGGTGGGAGTATATTGTGGCATTTACACAGGTCCTTACAATGTATCAAATACATCATACAGGAAGACATTTGATTTTAAAATGTGGTAGAGAAAACATACTAAGTTCCTGAACACCATCTATGAATGAAGAATTTACAAGGCTGTACGTACACCTGATAGTCTATAATAAACCTGAGCACAGATTCTGTGTTTTGTTGTGGTCATTTTATCTTTGGTTAACAATGGCCAGCACTGTGCCAGGTACTTAAGTTATATTATATAGCACAGTGGTGCAATAGTAAGAATAATAGTAACACAATGTGCTTGCAAATTTACTTAAAGTAAAGCTGAATTCACTCAAATATCTAACTGTTAAAAGATAAATGCAAGCACCTGGTAGCTAATTTAAACAGAACTGAACAGTTTAATACTATTAAAATGCTGTTAAACAATAGCAGAACTGAATACCTACACAGTAAATTTTATTGTAGATAGATAGGGAGATGTGAATGATCCTGATTACTTGTCAATTGAGGAAAATGTTGAGTGCTGCATTTTCTCTTTCTCCTCAGGATCAGCAATCACATTGCCTCACAGATCATTGATTCATTAATAGCAATATATACCTACTTTGAATTTCCAAATAGCCAGTGCTTCACAAACACACAGACACCTCTTTTGTTCTAGAGTGGTGTTTCCCTAACTTTCAGTGAGATGGAAATTAAGTTTCCTTTATGACTTATGTTCTTTTATCAACATATACTTTTTAATGAAGAAAAATATTTGTATACATCCAGTGACACAAGATTATTTGAATAGTAATATACGTTCATAAAGCCCAGTATTTTTGTTTCACACATAGAACAAAGACACATTTTTAAAGGAAAATGTGTAAGCACCTTCATAAGACTCAATTATGAAATATCTACACTGATTTCTGTGCCTTGATTTTCTTAATAGAAGTCTGAAAACAAAATGCCAATATATCTACCGGTTTCAAATAGAACATTTATCTAATTACAATTGTGCAAAAATTAAAATGGTTAGAATATTCTGACCTAATCCCTAAAAGGACATGCCTCACAATTTTCTGGAAGTCAAGGACATTAGGTAATATGATAGACTTTAATATTGGAAAGAAAAAGAAATAGCAAGTTGAACTTTAATATTTATTACAGAATTTTGATAAGGAATACTTCAGGAATTAAAAGGTCACACAGGCTTCATTTGTTACAACTATTCTGCTGCTTTTCCTCAAAGCTTCTTGTTTTTCAATCTCTCATATGAAATTATTCATAACTGATTTACTGCAGTGGACAGGAGTTATTTCCGCATTTTATTTCTGACAAATATCCTTAAAGCTTTTATACCATAGAACCAAGAGAAGAAGGGAAGTGAAAGGAGTCTAAAGGAATGAAAAAAGAGAGACAGAAAGCAACTTAAATCAAACAGCTCAGAGGTGAATGGTTCAGTTCATGAATATCTCAAAAATCCCCTTAGAATTTTGTTTTTAACTATAGGTCTACCTGCAGGCTTTACCCAAATGAAAACCAATAATAACAACAAAAAAGAATGAAAGAAAACAAAACCAAACCAAAAATAAAACCTTCCTAACATTAATTGTCAAAGGAATGTCTTTTAAAATGAACCACTTTATTTGCTACTAAGCAACCATGAGAAAATGTTTCTCTAACTGGCGGTTATGGTTGCCTCTCTCACCTGATAGGTGCTCCTTTGGCTTGTGCAGGTCTCAACAATACAGTAATTGTGGTGGCAGTTTCATTGAGAGAGGCATCAACTCCTTCATAGTCAGGCAAAGTTGGAGCTGAAAAGTGAGCAAGGAGAGGGAAAAAAAATTCAGTCGATGCATAGTAATATATCATGGGTCAGTATAAATAAGTGAGCCTAACTTTAGGAAACATTCAGTTAATTTGTAGTTATCTGTAGTGTACCTTATTTTGTAGCATCATGCCAGGTACTGGAGTTTAACTCCAGCAATCTAAAGTATAGTCCAGCTATAAAGACAAAATTGTTGAAATTTAAAAAGTAATCTAGACAGTGGTGATACACATTCCAAACATTTTTGAAGATGTTTTTGCTTTCATTCTGCTGAAAATTTCAAGTAAGCAAGGAAGGAATGGGAAGAAGGTGGGAAAACAGACTCAGGAGTACTGGCTATGAGGATCACACACAAAGATTTGCAGGTCTGCATGGCACAAGTGAGGGAAAGGCTGCCTGGTGAGGCAGGGCCATTCGTGTCCTCAAGTTCGCAGAAAGACTCAGCATTCTGTTCTGGATTCTTTTCATCTCTGTAATCACAGTGGAGACAGATCCAGCAAATGTGGTAAAGGGGAATTGGAATCTTAGTTTTTAGTATATTAGTTGTCACGATTTTGGATTTCAAAATATTGGATAATGTTTAACTGGGGATTGAGTGAAAGAATAACTTCAAATGGCTCTTCATTATTTTCATGTAGAAAGAAGTTTATGGGAATGTGTAGCAAGTGAAATATGTGTATTATCAGAAAAACCTGAGTCAAAATTAGGTAATACATTTTTTTGAAGAATTTCTAGCATCCATTGAATATTTACTGAATATATATACTATGTGCAAAGTTTTTTGAGACATTCTCTCTACATAAAGACAAATTATGGTTTCTGACATTTATGGAATTAAAAAGGGATTAACATTTTATGAAACATGAAATAAACCAAATATATACTAAACTGTTAGGTGGCCAAAGGAGGCATCTGTCAAAACAGTAGCTCTCGTGCTCCTTACAAGGTCAGAAGTGCTTCTTATAGGGCAGATTACCACCGCTCTCCTCTAGCCACTGACTGATTCGCAGGTCTGAGAAAAGACCAAAACACGTGCATTTCTAGAAAGATCCTGGGTCATGCTGATACTGTTAGTCTGGGGACCACACATTTTAAATTAGTGTTGAGAGTTAGGACAATGACACAGGGAAAACTTTAGGGCTTAGGGGATACTTGAACTGAATATTAAAAAAGAAGAGTAAAAATTCACCAGGAAGAGAAAACATGAACTAAATTCCAGAGAGAGGAAACAGTGTTCGAAGACATCAGCACCTGGAAGAACGTGGTATATGCTAACCAGCTACATGTAGTCTGCTGTACCTGGACTTTTGATTCATGGGGGGAGTGGAGGATGAGAAGAATCATATAGTGAAGGGCCATAGCACCAACAATAAGCAGGTAAGTGGACTCTGTCCTACTGGACACAATCAATACATTAGATTTTGAAAAAATGTAAGAAGAAAACCTACATTATATAAAGTATAATAGAAGGATACATTGAAGAAGAGTATGTCTAAAGACAGGGGCATGACTTAGAAAGATATTTCAGTGACCTGCTTAAAATATGGTCCAGGCAGAAAAAAAAGGAACAGTGACATTAAAAGGAGATAATTGTTAACCAGAGTTATTTAGGAAGCAGAAGCAACAAATATTAAATATAATACATGCAAAATATGCATGTGTGCATTATGTATATGTGTGCATGTGTGTACATGACTCACACATACATACCTCCAACCACCACAACTCCAATGACTTAATTTCACTTTGTATTAAATTGAAATTCAAAATGCTAGTGACTCAAAGGCTAAATTAACAACAAATTATCTTAAATTTCAGGTGTTCAACACTAAATATAAATAGGATCAGCTTAGCTGTGATTAACTAGTTTCTCCAAATGTACACTGATGGCAACTGAGTTTTAAAAGTATAATTGATTATTCATTGCTCTTGGGTTGATGCAAGAAGAAATGGAGTTAAAAATTCAAGGAAAAAACTAAATGGTATTTTGATCAAAAATTATAAATTTTTTGTTCAACGCAAACATAGTATCTGAGACTTGAAAATTTTACATAAATACATATGAGCAGCTCTCAGGAATGTGCATTTGTTCAATGTTCTGTTTTATAAGCATATGTAAACTTTGTAGCTATCTCTGTGGAAATACACTACTCAATTACAGCACTAGTTCTAATCCTAGAGGGTAGGAAACATGTCGTAATATCATCAAGTATTATTTTCTAATAAACTGATTCAATAAATATTTTAATTTGAAGTTTAGAATTGTTTCATCAGGAAACAATAAAACAGCAATTTTAATATATTGTTATTTTCTAATATAATGGATAATATTTTAAAATACTTGTTTTACTAGAATATTAGGATTCATGATACACATTTTAAGTTTGCATTATATTCAACACATTTCCACATAAAATTTTAGCCTTAAAACAACTTAGATAATATATATCTTCCTTTTGATGCAAATGTTTAGATTTAGAATATTAAGAATTTGCAATTGAGTATTATGATGTAGAATATATATTACCTAGAACCGTAATGAAAATAAACAAAAAGAATTCAGTCAAAATTAGTGTTTTAATATATTATGTAGCTGACCTTTAAAACATTTAGTTTTCATATATATAAAACATATATTTATTCTAGTTGTCCTAAATAAATAAGATGAAACATTATATAAACTAGAATAGATTTAGGGCACATTACAATGCTAATTTCTGGCAAGAATTAACCAGGTTTAACTGATGATTTGACTGAAAGAGAAATAGCATCTGTAAACAATCTAGTCAAATGCAAACTATAAAATTGTGAACACAATAAATGTAAAATTTAATTATATTTGCTTATGAATTTAAAATTGTCCTTCATGTTCCTATTCTGAAATTTAAATGCATTTATGAGTTTTCTAAGAGAGAAAGGAAAGCCTATATTTTAAATTATTAGAATATTAGGAAAAGTGGAATGTATGTGATATTCTAATATTAGAAAGAGGATGCTATTTTTTTTTTGAGAAAAACCATTTAAAGTAGCAATCTCAAAAGTATAATAAGGCCTATTATCACTTATAATGAACTTTGAAAGATTTTCAATAAAGATATGACTTTTTAATAGATTACTGTCAATTGAAAGTACAAAATGTTTAGATCTGAACATATAATTAATAACAATTTGTATTTAAATTGTTCTGTAAGATGTATTCAGTCATACATAACTATTTTAAAGATACAATAAGCAAGATGAGTAACACAGCACATATGTGATTCTTCAGGACATACTATCACAACCAAGAGCACAATTAATCTTGTTTGCACTTTGTTCATGTGCATACCTGAGATATTTGTGGTGACATTGATGGCTGTGGCAGGCCCAAAGCCCTTGACTGTGCTGGCTCTTATGAGAAACTGATAGGTCGTTCCAGGGTGGAGATGCATAAAGACATGGTGTGTACTGTTCCATAAATTTGATACTGTCTGGGGAGGTCCAGCCACAGGAACTGCAGGATCGAATGATCTTATGCTGCTATAGCTAACCTGTTTTAGGAAAAACATTTTCTATTACACATCCAAGAAAAGACACAATACATGTAAACACACTCCTTCTAAATGAGGTGGCAATACAAGGGCATCCTTTGAGTAAGTCATAATTTTTTTTTCCACTTCTTTTCCTACTAATTTTAATAGAATTATTTTTTAAATCCAGTATTTCTAATATCTATGTATCTATGTATCTATCATCCATCTACGGATAGGTATACCTAGAGGTATATTTGACAATACAAAATATGTATGTATGTTCTTACATCAAAAATCAAACAACAAATTAATTTATTTAAATAAGCATATATACCCACAAAATTATGCGGTTGTATATGGTAATGCATAAGAAACACAGAAAGAGTTAAATGAGCGTATATTATTATTGTTATTACTATTATTATATACTCTGAAGTATTTAACAAATTCCACAATAGAAGTATTCAGATGTGCTAACACAGTCAAAAATATCAGATTGCACTAGCGATTTTCATTTCCATAATTCACTTTGTAGCCACTAGAAATCTAAAAATTTGTGCTATAATCAACACTTGACTATGGCAGGAACAGAACCACAGAGTTGCACAATTAAAATCATCCTTCATTTCTTCTTTTCAGCTTCTTATATTTGAAAACACAGTGATTTACATTCAAAGTTGCAATAAAGTTCTGAAATAGGTTTATCTACTATTTTTTTGCTATTAATTCCGTACTCTGAAATAATTGATATTTAATGTCCTCTCCCAAAACACAGTGTGGTATTTCCTTAATTTTATAAAAAGGAAAATTAGGGTTTGTCACTAGACAAATAGACCTTGTCTGTTGACAAGGACTATCAAGCCTCTCTAAAACAATATCACAATCCAAGCATTTAAGAAGCTAAAAATTGTAGACATTATACATTGTTGGTTTTGATACTCAATTTTGGAGACAAAGAATTTATAAATTAAGACAGGAGAACTAGTAATCCTCACTTCTTTTCCAGTTTTCCCTAACATTTTGAATATTTTCCCCCCTTTTATCCTTCTATCTACTTTCAAATTAACTTCCTTGTTCTTCAGTACCTCATATTGAGTGATGATTCCATTTGGTTCCACAGGCTCTTTCCAGTTCAAGAAGATTTTGTTTTCAAAGGATGTTCCTTGAAGAGATTTGACTGGTACAGGGCCTGGCACTGTAAGTACATGCATTATTGGTTTATCAGAATGCTTATATCAGAAAGAGAAAAGATGAATCATGCAAATTAGATAATCGAAATTCTAAAAACACGCAAGAAATGAAAATGTGTCCTTAAAAAGAAATAAGCTATATGAACAGATTTCTGACTTAACTGTGATATATGGGAACTTAAATTCAAATCTATTAAGTTTCTAAAGCAAAAAATATAGAAACGCAAAGTTATTTTTATTCAAAAGACTATTCTATCACCTTAGAGAATTGTATAAATTATGTAGTCTAGTTTTCCCTGCTGTATACACTAATAAGATGAAGATCTTATTTGTAATTTGTTTCAAGAACAGAGATATATTTCCCTGAAAGATTTTTTGAAGATTATGATAATCCCCTAAAGAGACTCCATAGTTCATAAAATAATGAATTACAATAATAATTAACACTCCTTGGACTCAAAAGCCAAATCACATGGCATCAGATTGAAATGCCCATTAATAATCATTCTGACTTTCATAGCTATACTTATTAAATTTTTTATAATTAAAAAAGACAGCATTATTACATTTAAAAAAAATTATTAAACATGAATGCATTCATACATCATTGCTTCATTGTTCTAAATGAAATTTACTTTTCATAGCTAAGAAGAATCAAACCAGTTTATAACATGAAACTGGTTTAGAGTGATGTTAAAAATGTTTGTTTTTGTTTTTTCACAGTGGCGGGGATCAAACCCAGTGCATCACAGAGCTAGGCAAGTGCCCTCCCACTGGGCCACACTCCCGCTCTTGCACCACTACCTGAGCACCCTCTACTTTTGGCCTGACTGGAGTCCTTGTTGGCAAATGTGTGACTGGCAAAACCCACTGGTTAATACTGAGTGTATTTTCCTTTTATATACTTTACTTCAATACATAGCTATTTATTCATGTAAATATGCAGATCCTCTATCTGATAATGCTTTAAAATATATACCATCTAGCATTGTTGGCTTAAAAACATGCTTCCTTTTGAAAATATCAACCCAATAATGGACAAGTATTTTTTAAATTAATATTTCCTTAAATCTAACGTTTCAGTGAACTTCACACATGATATCATCTAGAAATGCAGTTTCGAAGTGTAGAGCAACTTTGTGAGGATTGAAATAAATTAAAAATCGTGGATCAAAGGAAGTGCTTTGCTTCTTGGCTAGTAGCATCAAGAAATTCTGAATGATATGTCCCAAGAATAAGACTTATTTCACTCTACAAGGAGATATGAATGATGTTATGACCTCTAAGACAGGCAATGTAATTTGGCACCTTAATAATAAATTCATAAAGGAAAGCAACACAGGAAAGATGTCAGCACTAAACTTGGGAAGACGTGCAAGCATGGCAGCTGAAGGATCTCTGGCCCTCTCTGTGGTGTCAGCTTAGGCACAGGGATATGGCTGCCACTGTGTGTGATCTGAGGCAGCTGCTGAGGCTGCCATGGGCACTGGTTTATTTTTCAAGGCAGTGCCATTGTTTGTACTTCTCAAGTGACATAGTTTATTACTTCTTTACAGATTTCTGATGGAAGATGGCAGATGGGGGGGGAGGCAAATCCCAAATAGTGAAGAAATGTTTACTTAATAGCATTATAATTATAACTGCCTATGATCTCCAAACACTATATATATATATATATATATACATACACTATAAAATGACATGGATATATTTAAAATTGTTCATAACTAGGGATGGTTTAAAATGCTTGCATAATTCTGCACTGAAAGACAGGGTAAGAAGTAGAAAGTAGTTTCCCTAGAATTTATTTTTGTTTTTTGGTGGTACAGGTGTTTGAACTCAGGGCCTCATGCTTCCCAGGCAGGTCTATCACTTCAGCCATTCCCCTTGCTGTTTTTTGCTTTTAGTTATTTTTAAGGTGCAGTTGTTTGTTTCTTAACTGGAGCCAGCCTCAGACCTCAATATACCTCCAGCATAACTGGGACTACAGTTATGTACCATCACACCTGGCTTATTTATTAAGATGGGGACTTGGTAACTTTTTGTCCTGGTGAGCTTCAGCTGCAATCCTCTAGATTTCTGCTTCCCAAGTATCTGGGATTACTGGTCTGAGTCCCAGCTCCCAGCTCGAATTTTTGTATTTCTATGCCCTGCAATAGAAATGTGCTCTACTTTGGCAACAGGATGTGCTTCAAGAATGTACAGGACACACCTGTGAGAGAGAAAGTATGTGGGGAAATAATGACCAAAGCATGTTCTACTATTGATCTTTTCTTGGACAAGTCTAGTGAGTGAGTGAAAGAATTACACTTTAGTGAGATGTGGGCACAGACCAACTATATGCATGTATTTTCCACATTTTAAGGAAGATGAGGTCAGTGTGTTTAGAGATTTGTGTAAATACAGCATGAAGTTACTAATGCCTTTGCATGGAAGTCTACAGATTGCTGGGATGTCACTTCACATTTCTACATCAACAACTTTTAATGGCGACAGAATGCTGACTTTTGTTCCCTGCCTGTGATTTATATAAGAGCTGTATCAGCAATTTTTTTTTTTAGTATAAGAAAATCCTTTAAAATATAACTTCCAAAATGAAAAAGAAAGGAAAAATGTAACAAGGGTGGAGCAAGATTATATTAAACAAGCATGATAGCTTTTAAAATGTAATAAATGTACATTTAAAAATAGCTTTGTATTTTCAAAAACTGTTCCTAACTAAGCTTTTTCTGCGGAGCTAACTTCACAATATTGACTTTTATGAATGCTGAAATAAAAAATGAAAACAAAACCTCATGCAAAAAAATTCTGCCATGCACTAAAAAATGTGTGCAATAAATTAAATATAAACTGTACCTTAGGGTTCTGGTGGGAAATTGTTCTAGTTTGCTCTCATGATTTATGGATGTCCCCAGAATTCTTTTCATGTAATTATGCCCCTTTATTAGATGGTTGATAATTTATTCTTTTTCTATGTATACAGGGCAGCAATAATTTAATAAGGCTGCCTTATCAGATCATCATAACCCACTGGTCTTTGCAACAATGTGTTCAGCAACATTAAGATACATCAAGTATTCCAGCAGAAACTGAAGCTCACATGGACAGATTTGAAGATTAGTTATTTACAAATACTTCATAAAATTTTGTAATGAATCATTAAATATTATATGTAAAACAAAAAGAACAAAAATAAATCTCATATTTTGTGATCATATGTACTATGAAATACTAATATGCAATTTAGTATTATTGAAACCAGTAATAATAAACAGAGGTTAAAATAAAAGTAGGCCTACTGGCAGAGTGACTTAAGTGGTAGAGTGTCTGCCTTGTGAGCGTGAAGCCCTGAGTTCAAATCCCAGTACCAGCAAAAAAAGAAAAAGCTAGGCCTGAAAGAAATACTGAAATTAGAAGATAGATAGGAAGATATAATGAATATTATTTTATTAATACAGAAACTAATTCTGGATTAAATAAGCATCACAGCCATAAGTTTGATCAATTTAGGCCAAATTCCACAGCAACTCATTTCCTGATTATTAACACAGTCATCTGCATACAAGAAAATGCACTTCAAAATTTTAATGCAACACAAAACACATTATAAAAGCCTGACTGCATTCTTTTGTTTGTGTGGGGAAATAAAAGGCAAACTAACACGCCATATCAGAGGATACAATCAAGATAAATTGTACTATTAAAGGGTGATTGTAAAAGAAAAGCAGAAAATCCATATGACTGAGTCTAAAATTGGCAATTAAGGAATCATGTTTTTAAAATTAAAAGCAGGCAACAAGACAGGTGAATACACTTGCATTACTAAAATCACGGTTTATAAAAACTGTTTAGTGTGATGCAGACATTGTAGAATTTATAGCAGTTTATAAAAAAAACCAAAGTTTTCACAGCATTTGAATATACACTTAAATTTATCACTCCTGTTATTGATCTATGAATCAACTACCCGTGACCATTCTTACTTTCATAAACACTTAGGGCGTTTTGTGCGTGTGTTGGTAGTGAGGGTGGGGTTGAGAATTTTTGTGTTCACATATTAAGGTGGAGTTTGTTATTCAAATATTGTTGCAACTTTGGTTAAGAAAAGCTCAGATATAATACCTGAAATAGTCATGCTTGATAAAACATATCAAAACTGCATTCATCATACATAAGTCCTAGGTTTATCATCTGAAATTTTAGTGATGAGAAGCTCTCCACTAACAGTTTTAGGACGAAAATAACTGTTTCCTTCCAAGTCTAAGCTAAATAAAGTTAAAAGACTCTTATTTATTTGCATTACAACAAAGCAATAGGACAAACCAGAGTTGCTCCCACTATTCAGAATGGGAAGACTCTGGATTGATGAGTATTTTTGGATATTAAAACATATTAGCCTATTTTATGGCAAATTCATAATTGGTAGGCACCAAAATATACTTGAGTCTAAAATCTAGAACTTGAGGGGAGTATGGAAGACTTAGTTTTAAAAACACATTCTATTTTCAGAAACCCAAATGAAATGATGGCCTCCCATCAAATATCTGAATGTGAATTTTAAGAGAGAATGAACCACTGAGATCATCTGATTTAACTTGTGCATTTAGAGTTGAGAAATGGAGAGCCAGCCAGGTGGAAGCATTTACTGAAGTTTGTTTTGGAGGGACTCATGATTCTTGACTTCTATTGTAGCATTGCTGCAGCTCACTATATTGCAGGCATTTTTCCTTTGCCTGACTTCATTTATAAAAGGAAAGTTTGAAACAAAATTTCCTATCCAAAAGAATGTATTACTGTTAATATTCTAATATTATCATTTGTAGAGGTTTTGTACACATTTTTGTTAAATCAGGAAATGTATTCAATTGAAATTAATGAGTACACTGCTAAAGGAGGTTGTACACATATTATAATATTATTATGCATATTTCCTATAATTTGATGATTCAGCAGTAACACACATGGAAATTGGACAAATTATTCTTCTGTTACTTGGATAGTAATAAAATATATAAAGGAAGATAGCCTGCTAATATGTAATAGAGGTCTTTATTTTGATTTAAAGGTATGGATTAGGGTTATCTTTAATATTTATACTCATATTAAACCATCTAAAAATAAATGAAATATGTAAATAGTTATTTTTAAAATGTTAGGAAAATAAAAAGTAGTATTGGTTTATAAGATACAAAAGACTAAAACTTGTAATGAAGTTGATCTTACCAGTGGGTATGACATGGATGGTGAAAATAACATTTTTAACATTTGATAAAAATAAGCTTAAGCTTTGGTGTAGTTGCCATTTTATGTCATTATTTGGAAAGAGAAGACAATAGAGGTACATTTCTTTTAGTATTTGGATTCTTCTGTGAAGAACACAAATTTTGTTAAAGAAAAACTCTTTCCAAAGTTAACCTCATTATGGAGAACTTAGCAGATTTCAGAGTCCATTCTGGTAGTAGGTAATCTAGGAAAAATTTTAAGAAGTTGGGTTATTTAAATAACAAAATATGAGCATACCATCCTCATCAGTCTGAATAACTGTCTCTTCGCTCTCCTTCCTTCCTTCTGGGTTGGTTAGGATCATCTTGAGGCTGACGTTTGTAAAAGGTGGCAGATGGCTCACAACATGCTGAGGGGCTTTGGGATCCATGTCCAAGCAGTCTGCCTTGCTCTCATTGTGACCACGAAAGTAGTGGTAGCAGATGGTGACGTTAAAAGTGTGGCAGCGAGTAATGTTGTAACCCAAGGACTCCCAGTCCACAGCGATGCGTCTTGCTTGGATTTCAGCAATCTTTAAAGTCTTTGGGGTTCGCATAGGTTCTGAAACAGATCAAGTTGTAGACAGCTGTCAGTTTTTCCATGATTCTCTTGGAAAAGTAAAGCACGGAGTATAATTCAGTATACGTAAGTCTAAGGAAATGTAGAAGTCACCTTTTATTTTGATCATTTTTACTTATTCATGATCTTATTCTTGAAAGTTTCAATTAGGGCTTATGGTTTACCACTAAGAAAAGAAACAGAACATAAGATGACAACAATTTATAATATTCAGGAACTTGGCAGCAAAGTAAAAACCTGGCACTGTAGCCATAATGCCTTCACAGTGATTGCTGTTGTTACTCCCAATTCCTTGTCCTTTTTCTATTGTCATTACTAAGCTCATATATCACAATGGATAAGAGTCAACATGTTCTGCTCTATGATTTGTCATGTCACTAATCTATGGTGTATAGTAATTAGTCTAATTGTAACACTAAACTACCATTTACAAAAAATGACACAGATATTAATTAACATTAATTATTTCAGTAATGATGTTGTTCATCAAAGCAAAAAAATTAGAAAAATTGCAAGAACACATGCAGATATTAACATTGTCTTCTTTTCCTCTTTGTCTCTTCCTGACTTTTTCTAGAAAACACTCAAGTCTAATAACCCATTTGCTGTCACCCAAACCAAACTGGGAGGTGAATTTCCATTGAACTGGAAAATGCTGGCAGAACTGAACACTCCAAAGACTTGAGTTCATCCATCACCAATTCCCAAGTGCATTCTTTCCTCATGCAAGACTAATTTTAATTGTCTAACTTAATCAAATAATTACTCTATGAAAGTCATAGCCATGGCAAACTCTACACAGTAAGGAAGCCAATACGCAGCAAAACTTTAATACACTGATTTGACAAAAATTAAAAAGTCATTACCAAGGTCAAGACCTTGCTGGTGCCTCTCTTAACTTACTAAGTATAGTCAATACACTTGCTAAATGGAAATCAATAGGTGAAAGGAAAAACAAACAATCCCAACTTCTATGCTTTTATACATTTTTATTTTTGAGAATAAAATCTCAGTTCTATGAAAGCAATTAGCATGCTACACAGATGGTAAATCCAAATTGGGAAGCCAGTTCAATGTATTTAATGTAAGATCTGAAACAAACTTGTGTCCATTTAATTTAAAACATCAAAATTACAAAAACCCATTTGCAAACACATAAATTGAACTTTAGCAAAATCTAAGTCTAGGTTTTAAATGTTATGCCAATCTTATGACCATCCTGCCTATTTTACCATTTTTGTTTTGTGTGCTACCTTGAGCATACAGGTGGACTGGCAGAAAGACGTGGCTTTCTAGTCATTTTGTTAAATTACTTGCTAGGTCTAACTCCATGCTAACATTTTCCATACCTGGCACATGAATGAAATGATGAGGCTAGACAGAAGATACAGTCCTTGTCAGCACTGTTTGCCAGCTGACCAGGCAGTTTCATAAAGAAGAGCCCTACAGATTTTCAAAGAAACTGTGCCAAGGTCAGGCTGAGCTAGATAGCATTCTAAAAATCATTCCTTTGTATCCAGAACGTGAAAGTAAGATTCATCATGAAAACACCTGGAGCATATGAATGTACAGCAATGACAGAAAACACCAATAATATTTACTCCTCTATTTAGTAATTTTAGGCCTAGCATTTTACACTTGTTTTCATTGACCCCACATTTTGAATCTGACATTTTCCTTTTCTGTGAATTTCTCTAATTCTGAGTCTTCATTCTCTTTGACCAGTCTTCTCTTTTTGTCTCACTATTCTGTTTGCATTGATTCCACAATCTAATACAATTTAAAGCAACCTTGAAAACTGTGAACTGTGAACAAAGACCATTTAGCTCTGCATCCCCAATTGTCATATATCAAAGAGTCAGCAAGTATATACTTATTACCTATTATGCAGGAAATGCATAGGGCTCAATATGAGAATTGTGTTTGTGTGTATTAATGTCATTTACTTTGGAATTCATTGTGAATTATATTAAAATACTTCACTGAAACTCAAGAAAAAGTAGCTTTCTGTATCATATTCATGCGTGTATAAACCACAACCATAATCTGAGTGCCTAATACTTTATTAATTTATATGAAAGACTTTTGGAAAGAAATAGTTTTTCTAAGATGCAAAGAATCTTTCAAGGTCAGTATATTACTTGCTATTCATATTTTTCATGGGTTGAACAACTGCTCTGTTGTTGCTAAAATGAGATTTAAATATAACTTAACTCTTCTTTTTCTTTTTTTAAAAAAAAAAAAAAAACCATGGTCTCACTATGCAGCTCAGGCTGGCTTAATATATATGAGCCTGCTTCCACCTTCCAAATTCTGGGATTAAAGGCATGCACTACAGCAATCCAACACAATTCAACTCTTACGACAATATTCAGAAACTATACACAAAGTGAATACATACACTCAGAGGATTAAGTAGTACTGTATAAATTTTTAACTTTTCTCAGCTTTTACTGAGGTGGGACCTTTTAAAGTCTATGTGTGCGTATACTACATGTACACACACAAACACCATATCTATATACGTGTATATACACGCACATATGATAGGCATTCTGCCATACAACTACTCTGAATTCTGTTAGACTCAAACATGGGCTGAAAGCTATATTGCAAGCAGATTTTTGTAAACAACAATGACTTCACAGTTCTAATATTATGAAATCCAAAGAAAATATTATCAAAGGACTCAACAATAAAATGGTTTAAATTGCTCACCTTAACCTGTTGTTGTTGTTGTAATAGTAATAATGGTATTATAATAGTATATTATTATTAGTATATAAAATAGCATCATATACTACATGTTATATTAGTAACTATAATCAATGATTACACTTTATACAATATAATTATATAACAATACACAATATAATAATTACATATTATGTACTAACAGTATTAATAGTAAAATATTATTATTACTATTATTTTGTGGTATTAGATTTGAACTCAGGTCTTTGAACTTGCTAGGTAGGAGTTCTGCCACTTGAACCACATTGCCAGACCTTTCTTGCTTTAGTTACTTTTTATGTAGGGTCTCACATTTTTGCATGGGGCCTGGCATCTGACACTCAGCCTCTTTGCCTATGTCTGCTATGTATCCAAAATCACAGGCATGTACCACCATGCCCAGCTTATTGGTTGAGATAGGATTTTGGCTAACTTTTCACCTGAGATGGCCTTGAAAAGCAATCTTCCCAATTATCTTTGCCTCCTGAGCTGCTGGGATTATAGGCATGAGCCAGCATACTCAGCTTTATTTCATTATTTCTAATGAATTGTATTTCTCATGTAGACTACATGAACACATAAATAAGATTTTTAGCTTTCATGATTGGGGGAGTGTGTATGGCTTAAATGATGAAGTGCTTGCTTAGTAAGTGCAAGGCCCTGAATTCAAACCCCAGCACTACAAAAAATAAAAATACACTTAACTAAATTTGAAGTGTTAAGTAATTTAAAGCAATAACCTAGCATGATGAATGGCAGGTTGAGAGATTTTAGCAAATAGTATTTACAACAAAAACAACATAATCATAATAATGGTAAAACAATGGAGACTATACTCATCCATGCACTGTCAATCATTTTGGAATATGCCAAATGTTCTTTGTCTTTCTTAATTTTTGACTTTCTGCTCCTAAATTTTGAGTATTCTGTATATATGATTTTATATAACCATTCTCTCTCTCTTACACACACACACCACACACACCACACACACACACTGCTGAAAGGCAATTTGAGTAGGCAGTAGGAATTGAAAAAAGTTGCAGGGAGAATTTTATCAGAAACATGGGAATAAAAAACACAGCAATGGATGGACATTAGTGCAGCAAATGTTCATGTGAAAATGTCTAGATCAAGTTACCATCCATCTTGAAATAAAAATAGACTGTCCATTATAAAAGTGTAGCAAACTCTGTGGAAGGTACTAAAGTGAATAAAACAATACTAGAACTCAAGGAGCTTACCACTTTCTTATCACAGGTAAAACAAGAAGAACAAAAATTATATATAATATATGGCATAAGTGATACGCAAATTACATAAAATACTATATAGGAGTCCAAGAGAGAGAAATTATTGCTGCTTGTCAAATGGAGACTCAGAAGACAGAGTAAAGATCCGTAGACATTGTTTAGGTAAAAAACTGTAATCACATATGGCTGCTATACAAATATCCAGTAGAACAAAATGTAGGAAAGACAGCCTGGAAAAAAATTAAGCAACCTTTTGATGTGTTGGTAAGAGGCAGAATTTAATCTAATATTCACTGAGAGTTTCTGGGCAGGAAATTAACATAGTCAAAATAACTGTTTTAGAAACATTAATTTGGAAGCTGTACTAAGTGTAGAGACAGAAAAATCAAAAGACTGCAATGTGTTAGGGAAGAATCAGTGGCTAAGTAAAGATGGTGACAATAGGAATAGGCAGAATAGAGGCCACTGATATGGAAGAACAATTGAAAAACTTGGTGACTACTTGGATTTGACATATGTTGATGTATATCATACAGCTAATGAGTTCAGATGGAATGGCCAAGAAAATTATGGTGCACTGAAATGAAAAAGAACACTCAAAAGAGACACACTGAGAAATAAATTCAGTGTCATTGATTTGTTACTTTCTGATAGCCACAAAGTGTACTAGGAGCTAAGAATACAAAGATAATTTGACAATGTCCTACTCTCAAAGCAAAGCATACAAAAATATTTGAACAGATCTGTGTTTTAAATAATTGGGGAGCATTCTGAAAAAAGAAGAAAGGTGTTCCCATCTTTTCAGAGAAAACAGAAGAAAAAGGAGTGGGGGAAGAGGGGAGAAATGACCCAAACATTGTATGCACATATGAATAAAATAAAAATTAAAAAAAAAGGAAGAAAAAGGAGAGGGTGAAGGAGAAAGAAAGGGAGAATGATGGGGGAAGAAAGGAAAAAAGACACAGAGAGAGCAACAGAGTGTGTGCTAGAGAGCAC